GCTAGGAGCTTCTTCCAGATCTCCCATGTGGGTGCAAGAGCCCAAGCACTTGGGCCATCCTCTACTGCTTTCCCAGGCCATTAGCAGGGAGCTGGATTGGAAGTGGAACAGCTGGGACTCGAACTGGTACCCATATAGGAAGCCAGCACTGCAGGTGGATGCTTAACCTACTACGCCACAGCACCAGCTCCTCCACTGACTTTTTGAAATACCCTTTTATCTGGTTGCCAAGAGAAAAATCTGGATCAAATGATAAGTACATTTTTTTCCTTCCTGATCCCTACATAATTTTTTCCCTATAAATTTGTTGGGTGGGCATCATGGCACACTGGGTTAAGCTGTTGCTTACGACACCTGCATCCTCTATCAGTGTTGGTTTGAGTTCCAGTTCTTGTTCAGTTTCCTGCTGATACATCCTGGGAGGCAGCAGATGGCTCAAGTGCATGGCCCCTGCCACCCACATGGAGACCTGGATGAGTTCTGGGCTCATGACTTTGGCCTGGTCCAGCTCTAAATCTTGCAGGCATTTTGGGAGTGAACTCACAGATGAAAGATCTTTCTTTCTATGTCTGTTGTGCTGCCATTCAAGCAGATAATAATTTTAAAAAAATTAAAAGACAAAAAAATTGTTCTTTAAAATCAACAGGAAAGCACAGATTTGGGAGACATTCCCCTACTGTTTGGGGGCCTGAGGATCCTATGTCTTTCCAGAAAGGAACGGTTTCAGAACCACTGCTTTCGGGGCCAGTGTCGTGGTGTAGCAGGTAAAGCCGCTGCCTGCGGTGCTGGCATCCCAAATGGGTACCAATTTGAGTCCTGGCTGTTTTACTTCTGATCCAGCTCTCTGCTATGGCCTGGGAAAGCAGTAGAAGATGGCCCAAGTCCTTGGGCCCTTGCACCCATGTGGGAGACCAGGAAGAAACTCCTGGCTCCTGGCTTTAGATCGGCACAACTCCGGCCATTGTGGCCATCTGGGGGAGTGAACCAGCAGATGGAAGACCTTTCTCTCTCTCTCTCTGCCTCTCTGTAACTCTTTCAAATAAACAAATAAATATTTAAAAGAAATAAAAAGAACTGCTGCTTTCATGTATGGACTTGGAGTCAGATCTGGTCTCCAACTGCCACTGCCATTGCCAAATTGTGTAGGATCTTGGTCTTCAGATTCAGTCTTTTTTTTTTCTTTTTTTTGAGATTTATTTATTTGAAGAGCAGAGTTAGAGAAAGACAAAGAGAGAATCTGTCTGGTGGTTCACTCCCCAAATGGCCACAACAAGCCAAGAGCAAGGAGCTTCCTTCGGGTCTCTCGTGGGTGGCGGGGACCCAAGATCCATCTCCCGCTGCTTTTCTGCTATAGCAGGAAGTTGGATTGAAAGTGGAGCAGCTGAGACTTGAACTGGCACTCATGGGATACTGGCATCGCAGGCAGCTTAACCCGATGCGCCAGGACGCTGGCCCCGGATTAGTCATTCAGTCTTGTATAAAAGGAAGTGAAAACAGCTATCACACAGGGCTGCAGCCAATGGGATTAAGAGCATCATGACATGTCAGTGTAGCTCTGTTCCACAGAAATATAATGCACAAATGTGAGCCACAGTAAATACAAAAACAATGGAGGTATGTTATACTCTTTTTGTACTAAATCTTTACATCCAGTGTACATTGTATATTACAACATATTCCGATGAAGACTAACACTTCTCAAGTGCTCAACAGCCATTAAATGGGTACTGGCCACCCAACCACATAGCAGCATTGGTCCAGATCTGAATTAATTTGTCCAGTAAACTTGATGATTGTTTAGCAAGCAAAGCAGAAGGCACCTAACCTAAGTTGTTGAAATGGCTGCTTGGCCTATAGGAGCTTCATAATTTTGTCTAAAGTAGGCATCATCTCCTTTGGTATATACCGAATAAAAACAAATTGAAACACTGAAATACAGAAAGCAAAAATCTCTCTTCATCATTTCCAAGCTAACCAATACTATCAGCACTAACTACACATTACATTTGGCTAAGTGGGCTTTGTGATGTATCTGGAAGAATGATCAGTTTTCTTAGTGCCTCTGTAGCCTTTTTAATTTTTTTTTAAAATTTATTTTGTTTAAGGAATACAATTTCATGCATTTACTATATACAGATTTGGGGAGATGATGCTTTGGCCCCCTCCACCTTCCCTGTAGCTTTTTTTGTTGAAAGATTTATTTATTTGAAAGGTAGAGCACCAGAGAGAGAGGGTGGGAAAGAGAAAGGGGAGAAGAAAGAAGGGGGGCAGGGAGAGAAAGGCAAGAAGAAAAGTGGGGGTGGGGGAGAAGACAGCAAAATATTCCACGCACTGATTCACTCCCCAAATGACTGCAACAGCAGATCTGGGCCAGGCTGAGTTCCGGAGACAGGAACTTCATCTGGGTCACCTACATGAATGGCAGGGGTCCAAGTACTTAGGCCATTTCCACTGCCTTCCTAGCTGCATTAGCTAGGAAGACTGAAGCAGAGCAGCATTCCAATATGGGATGCTGGGGACCACAAGCAACAACTTAACCTGCTGCCCCACAATGCTCAATGCTGTCCCCCTCATAGCCCTTAAAAAAAAAAGATTAATTAATTTATTTGACAGGCAGGGTTAGACAAAGAGAGAGAGAGAGATCGAGAGAGAGAGATCTTTCATCCACTGGTCACTCCCTAAATGGCTACAACAATCAACAATCTGGGCTGGGCCAGGCAGAAACCAGGGACCAGGAGCTTCATCCAGGTCTCCCATGTAAGTGCCAGGGCCCAAGTGCTTGGGCCTTGCTCTGCTAGTTTCCCAAGTGCATTAGCAGGGAGCTGGATTGGAAGTGGAGCAGCCAGGACTCGAACCGGTGCCCATATGGGATGCTGGTGTTGTAGGTGGTGGCTTTACCTGCTATGCCACAACACTGGTTCTCACTCTGTAGACTTTTAATGATATCAGACTAGATTCTACTCCTCTGGTTTGCTTACCATTTTCATATAAAACACAATCACTCCCCCCGCCCCAGCATTTTAGTTCTGGAAATAAGTAACAATATGAACTCTGCTTTATATTTTACCTACTAGAAAATACCTGAAAAAATAACTTTTTTTTTTTTTTGACAGGCAGAGTGGACAGTGAGAGAGAGAGACAGAGAGAAAGGTCTTCCTTTGCCGTTGGTTCACCCTCCAATGGCCGCCGCGGCCGGCGCACTGCGGCCGGCGCACCGCGCTGATCCGATGGCAGGAGCCAGGAGCCAGGTGCTTTTCCTGGTCTCCCATGGGGTGCAGGGCCCAAGCACCTGGGCCATCCTCCACTGCACTCCTGGGCCACAGCAGAGGGCTGGCCTGGAAGAGGGGCAACCAGGACAGAATCCGGGGCCCCGACCGGGACTAGAACCCGGTGTGCCGGTGCCGCTAGGCGGAGGATTAACCTAGTGAGCCGCGGCGCCGGCTTAAAAAATAACTTTTTCTATACAGTTTTTAATGATAGGACCATACTCTGCATTTTGGCTCTATGGAAATCAGCAAGCTTGCTTCCATGGTCTTTGTCAAGTGCTCCTGGTTAAATGGATGAATGAACAGTGGAGGTCAGATTTACTGTTTTGGCAGGCTGGTGTCTCCAAGTTCAAAGACAACACTTAACACTAGTTCTGGAAACCTAGTCTTCTGATTAGATTTCAGTCAGTGGACTGCTCACTTCCTGAATTTAGATTTTTAAAAATATTTTGTTATTTAAAAACCTACTTATTTACTCATGAGGCAGAGTGTTATGTGAGAAAGCGAGCTCCCACCTGCTGGTTGACTCCCAAGATGTCCAGGAACTGGGCACTCGATCCAGGTCTCCCACAGGGTGGCAGGACCCTGAGCCACATCACCTGCTGCCTCCCTGGGAATGCATTAACAGGAAGCTGGACTCGGAAGCAGAACTGGCTCTCAAATCCAGAACTCTTGATGTGGGACACAAGCAGGTTAACTGGCCTCTTAACTGCTAGCCAAAACCCATCCTATGAATTTAGATTTTGTTATACTCCCTTGGAAAAGCTAGAACCACACAACCACGCTTTGTAGAAGGGTACTTCAAAAAGTTCATGGAAGACAGAATTAAAAATTGTTTTTGTGTAAAAAGTTTTAAAATCCACGCACTTTTTTCTTTTTTAAAGATTTTATTTATTTATACCAGAGAGAGGGAGCAACAGAGAGAAAGGTCTTCCATCCCCTGGTTCACTCCCCAAATGGCTGCAATGGCTGGAGCTGGGCCAATCAGAAGTCAGAAGCTTCTTCCGGGTCTCCCACGTGGGTGTAGGGGCCCAAGGACTCGAGCCATCTTCCCAGGCATTAGCAGAGAGCTGGATAGGAAGTGGAGCAGCCAGGACTCGAACCAGCGTCCATATGGGATGCTGGCACCGCAGGCAGAGACTTTGCCCACTAGTCACAGCGCCGGCCCCCTCACTTTCTTCATAATGTGCATTTCCCATATATTTTTTGAAGTCCCCTTATATTCATGGAGCTAAGGACCTTTTATACCATATACATTTATCTTTTCATTCCATCTTCCCATGAACTTTCTGAGTTCTGTGCAAAGGGAAGACAAGGCCTGGGAGGCAGGGGGCAGCAGCAGGGTTCAGGGAGTGGAGCACCCCCAAAGTCACAGGAGCGCAGGGTTGGAACTACTGTCCAACGCGGTGCTTAGCCCCACATGTCATGAGTACGCAATGAAGTGATCTTGGGCCTTGGGTCCCTGTCTCACGTTTTCCACCAGGGCAGGTGGGAACGATGCGGGACAGGAGGGGGGTTCCCAGGGAGGAGGTGCCCGGGAAGACTGCGGGTTCCAGGTTTAACCAATCAGGGGAATAGCAGAACACAGCTAACAACCAATCACAGCGCTGGCAGCATAAAAGCCCCATCAGGGGGCTGGGATTGGTAATCCGGTCTAGCCAATCCTGACAGTAAAAGGGGCACAAACAAGCACTTTATCCTCTTTTAAAGGGGCTCGGTCCCTTTTCTCGTTCCTTCCAGGGACCGTTCAGGGTCTCCCAAGCGGACTCCCAGGCGCCCTCCGCATTCCGTCCTAAAGAAATCCACCCGAGAACTTCGCACGGGGAAACAAAGCCTAGACGCAGCCCTCGCGAAGGTCCCCGCTTCGCCAGACTGCAGTAAAGCTGTCGGTATTCCTGCTCAGGCAACAGTAACTGGGCTCGGGCTGCAATCCCGGGGAAAATGCAAAACAACAACAAAGACAGCCAAAATCCCCAAATCACAAAACCGACCTACAGAACACAGAGTCCGTGTGACTCGGGCTTCCTGCAATCAGAAGTCTTCCGGGGTTGAGTTGGCAGGTAGGAGATTCGTCCCGCTGGTCAAGTCCCAGATCTGGTTCTGACAGCAAGGTCAGAGGGCAGGGTCAGAGGGCGGGGTCAGAGGGCAGGCCGCCAGGGAACCATGGGCGCGCCGCACACGCCGCTGCCTACGACGCAGGCGCAAACACAGGAAAGGGCGGGCGCAGGGGATCCGCCGGCCCGCGGAAGCCCCGCCCCTCGCCTTGCGTCAGCGTCACGTGGTCTTCGGGAGTCCGGGCGCGGACTAGGTAGAGGTATTCCGCCGCGCGCCAGCCCCTGCGGCGACCGTGGGGACCGGCGTGAACTGGTTGTGAACCTGGTACGGGGCGCCGCTGCCGCCACAGCTACGTGCGCTGGCCACGCGGGTCGTGCGCCTGCACCCAGTAAGTGTGAGAGAGGCAGCGGGAGGTGAGGAGGCAGAGAGCGGGGTGTGCGCCGCTGTCAGTCTCTGTCGCGCCTGCCAGCGCGAGGCCGTGTTCTGTTCTGACGGCGGCGGGGGTTAGGGGTGCCAGGGCTGCGAAACGATCGCGGGGTAGCGGGGGCGACGACCTGGGGAGCCGGTGGGACAAGGCCCGCACCATTGGCCGGTCGGTTTTGGCGCGCTCTCCCTTCCGCGTTCCAATTGGCTGGCTGGCGGCTGCCCGCCTTCCCCATTGGCCCCGAGGCGCGGTGGGCGGGCGCCTGGGCCTGTCCGTACCAGCTGCAGCCCCTGGGCGTCTCACACTGGCTCTTGGGGGAGGTCGCGGGTCCTGCCCCTCGGGTTGGAATCGTGGCTGCTGTCGGTGTTAGTGGTCCCCCCCGCCCCTCGGCGCTTCCTCGGCGCCCGGCCCTGCGCTGGACTTTTATTCTAGTTGTGTAAAGGAATTAGAGAATAGCAGCAGGTAAGGGGCCGGGGGGCGGGTGAACGTGTGAGGGGTTAGACATGATCGGTGGCTCCCATAAAGCCCGCTTTATGTCTCACCTGAGCTAGGGGTTTGACGAAGCCCCTCCAGTTCCATGCCGTTGGGTTACCTTTTTCCAGCGTTGCTCGTGACCCGCTAGTGGATCCCGACGGCGCCACACACACACGCCTGAGGCGTTGTTGCACAAGTTTTCTCCGATCGCCTGAGTGTGCATGTCCCAGGGCGTACTGGGAATGTGTTCCTGCAAGGTGGGGTGGGGTGGGGGCGTGCTCAGAGCACACCGAGTAAAGGCTGGGGGCACTGGGGGGGGGGGCGGGTCTGCAGGGAGTCTGGCCGGCGGTCCGCTGGACGGCTTTAGGTCCCCCTCTTCCTTGCCCGTTACTCCTTCAGATCGTGGGGTGCACATTCCGTGCACGTGTAACATGCGTAATCTCCCTAGACCCCTGTTAACTCGCATCAAACTATTTCGAAAGCCGAGTTTGTTACAGCTCAACTCTGCCTTTGACGGTAAAGTTCGGATGCTGTTCTTTACGGATGGACTTGGACACACCCAAGCAATCGGTTTTGCTTTTCCCCATGCTGATTTCTCATTTCTTTGAGAGCCCTGTATTTAAACCTGGACATCATCGTGTTTTGTAAATTTGTTTCAAATGCACGCTTTTCCTTTTGTAATGAGAATATTTTACTGTCAGAGTTATTGTGTATGTGTAGGATGCAGATACCAGGAGTCACTATAGTCACCTTAGCTGTTGACAGGGTAAAGTATAGAGGAAGAAGGGTAATTCTAGGATACCTCAAAGTGTTCATGGAAAAACAGAATTAAAAGATAAGCTCGGGGCCGGTGTTGTGGCGCCGGCATCCCATATGGGCGCCGGTTCTAGTCCCTGCTGCTCCTCTTCCAATCCAGCTCTCTGCTATGGCCTGGGATAGCAGTGGAAGATGGCCCAAGTCCTTGGGCCCCTGCACCTGTGTGGGAGACCCGGAAGAAGCTCTTGGCTCCTGGCTTCAGTCAGCGCAGCTCCGGCCTTTGTGGCCTTTTGGGGAGTGACCCAGCGGATGAAAGACCTCGCTCTCTTTCTCTCCCTCTCATTGTCTGTAACTCTCTCTCAAATAAATAAATAAAATCTTAAAAAAAGAAAAAAGATAAGCTTAGGGGCCAGAGTTGTGGGGCAGCGGATGAAGCTGCTGCCTGGTCACTGGCATCCCATACGGGCACAGGTTCATGTCCTGGCTGCTCCACTTACGATCCAGCTCCTGGCTAATGGAATGGGAGAGCAGTGGGAGATGGCCAAAATGCTTGGATCTCTGCCAAAATAAAAAAAAAAATTTTTAAGGTCAGTTTATTTGGAAACACATAATGTTTGAAGTCCATGCTTCGTTTTTTCATAATATGCATGTTCATGAACCTTTTGAAGATCTCATGCATAGATTAAAGCATTTTTTTTTTTTTTTGCACCACAGCTTACCTTTCAGCTGTTTTTCATGAACTTTCTGAAGGACTCTTGTGCTGTGTGGTGGTGTGATGTTTATAAATAAGTGAATCTAGACTCCTCCAGGTGCAACCCATATTCTGCTTTTTAATTACTAGTCTTTTGTGCTTCACCAGCTTTATAATGAATCCCAGTATGAAGCAGAAACAAGAAGGAATCCAGGAGACTGTAAAGGTATGTAATAGAATCACTTTAATCTGTTGTGATTAAAAGCATGTGGTTAAAAGTATTTTGGTAGGGCTGGTGTTGTGGCGTGGGGCCCCTACCACCCGAGTGGGAAACGTGGATGAAGCTCCCGGTTCCTAGCTTCCATCTGACCCAGCCCTGGCTGTTGTGGTCATTTCAGGAGTGAACCAGTGGATGGAAGGTCTTTCTCTGTAGCTCTGACTTCCAAATAAATAAAGTCTTTTTTAAAAAAATATTACTTTAGCATAATTTAGACCAATTTAACCTGACTATAATTTCTATAAACTTTGTGCTACTGACTTTTTACTTAGAGGACAACTACACAGTAGAGAACTTATATGGGATGAGATGTCTTTATTTCACTCTTCATTTTCTTTCAAGCAATGCTCTGCAGCTTTTGGTGTTTTACATTACTTTTGTTAAATTTCATCCTGGGTATTTTATTTTTTTTTATGCTATTGTAAATGGAGTTGTTCCTTAATTTGATTCTCTGATCATTGGTACCACATAGAAATACATATCCTGATCTTTTTCCTGCAACCTTCCCAAACTTGATAAGTTCTAATAGGTTTTTAGTAGACTCTTTAGGATATTCTATATGTAAGATTATTGCTTTGTTTCTATTTTTATATTTCATAAGAATCAGTATCTTTGACCACAGAGACACATTTTGTATTATATTACGCATTTTCAAAGTACATCATATTATCATCTAACCTGTTTTATTTGCAATGCCTTTTGAATTCCTGTATTACACTCACTAGAAATCTTATTCTAAATATTTACTCTTATAACAATAGAAAAGAGTTGGTTTATTTTTGAGTTTGTGATTTTGATTGGGTCCACATTTATGATTCTGAAAACTTTAATTTAGCTGAGTTCTACCCCAGAACTAAAACACTGTGAGGATCCTGGTAATTGGGCCCCATCTTTAGTAACTGTCAACTTGCAAATTTAAATAAAAGCCATTAATAAATAGAATCAAGTGGCTTTTCATAGAATGTTTTTGTTTGGTATTTTCCAGGATCTTTACATTATTTTTCTCAAATAATATTTTGAATTTGATAACTTCTTTCTATTATGCTTTGTGTTTATTTAAACCTATTATGGAAAATTTTCAAATATTAAAAAATGGAGTCAGTAGTATAATCATGACTGTTTTATCAATGGACAGCCAGTCTAATTTCTTCTGTTACTTCTCCTTTTCTCCACTGGGCAAGCTTGAAGCAAATCTCTGTTTATATAATTCCAGCAGATCCTTATATTTAAGAAAAAAAAAGTCTAATGTTTTTTAGCTCAACAGAACTTAAAAAGGGAACCTGGGTTCTCTTTGGTTCTGATTCTGCCTCCAAGAGACCATGGGTGGGTTAGGTAGATGTCAGTTTGCTTATCTTCAGACTAGAACTAGATGTGTAAAAGTGAATTTTAATTGAGGTTTGATGTATTCCATGATTCTATGTCAGTTATGTGCAAAACTGTGTCCCAGTATGCTGCTTGTGTACATTTTTGTGAGTGGAAAGTCAAATTGCTTTCTAAAGAAATTAACACTTGTTACCATATAAGAAACTTCAGGCTTCAAAATTCTATTATTGTAATGCATAGTATGCAGAAAATAATCATCTTACTCTTTTTTTAGGCTACATTCTATAAAGCTTACATGCATAAAGGTTAAGTCTTAGAAATAGCCATTTTTGTGCATAGCAGTAACTTAACTGGTTTTTTTGACCATTATTAACAGCAAGCATTTAAATAAATTAATAGCTTGTATTATTCAAGTTCCAAGGTTAATTTTTCTCCTGTTTGTCTGGAGACTGTTGACTAATCTATAATCTAAATTATGTCTGAAATGTTGGTGTAATATTTGTTCTCCCAGTAGTTGGCATTTGTTCTTCAGTTAAATAGTTAGATAATAATCAGCAGTAGAAGCTTTACCGTGGGAAAGGTGAGCTCTTGTCATGTGAAGTACAGTGTGGAATCAGTAACTTTCTCACGCTGGTATGGTGTCATGTTCTTGCTAACCTTGTTTGAGTATTCACCATTGTTTGCTATCCCATGGTGGCAGTATAACTAATGATTTTTGTGAAAATAGAGGGAGCTTTCAGATTAGTAAATACACAGGAAGGTATTTACATATTAAAAGAAGGCAATATTTTTTCTAAAACAATAGCTTGGGCATTTTAGATTCCTTTGTATGCATCAAAAACTGATGTTTAAGTTGTCTACTTCAGGCAAATCTGCTACAATCAGGTAACAATTGAGGGGGTGTCTCATGGGTACTTGGTTTTGAATAAAATATGTTCTTGGGGGCCAGCACTGTGGTGTAGCGGGTTAAGCCACCACCTGCAGTGTCAGCATCCCATATGGATGCTGGTTCGAGTCCCGGCTGCTCCACTTCCTATCCAGCTCTCTGCTGTGGCCTGGGGGAGCAGTAGAAGATGGGCCAAGTCCTTGGGCCCCTGCACCCATGTGGGAGACCTGGAAAAAGCTCCTAGCTCCCGGCTTTGGATCGACACAGCTCCAGCAGTTGTGGCCAATTGGGGAGTGAACCAGCAGGCAGAAGATTCTTTCTTTGTCTCTCTGTCTCTCTTTCTGCCTCTCCTCTCTCTGTGTACCTCAGACTTTCAAATAAATAAAATATTTTTTTTAAAAAAAGTATGTTCTTGAAAATTATATAACTTTGGTGAATACATTTACATGTGTTCCAGGAATATTTAAAACTTAAAAAGAAGTCTGAGGTGAATCTTTTAGAGAAACAATTACTTTGCAGTATAAATAATTAACCTTTTCTCCCAGTTTCTTTTATGAATTCACGCTACAAGTGTTATGATGTTCAGTTTTATAAAACAGAATACCTGTCTAGTTTCTGTGTGGAAGGTCTTTTTAAAGAGAGTACAGATATTCCTGTTAAACTGGAATTTTTAAATTTTTAAAGAGAATATAGTTCCTTAGTTCCTGTTAAATTGGTTTGGATAATTAGAACCTAGAAATTTTGTATATTTTTAAATATAATTAGTTGGCAGAATTATAACAAGCATATATTGAAATGAGAAAATGTACTTGTTTGTATCTAACTTGGGTGATAAGAATCATTCTTAAGAATTTCCTCAAACTTTATTATAATTTTGGGAAATAAGTTTCTTGGTAAAGCTAGCTTGTTCATATACATGAAAAATTATATAGCAGAATATTGCTGTTTACTCTTTTCAATTTATAGTAGGTTTAAGATTAATAATCTATATTGAAATTCACTAACTTTAGACAACTTTATAACAACTTAGTACCAAATAATGAATTATCTTGACTTTTAGAATAGCCCTGTCCCAAGAAGAACGCTGAAGATGATTCAGCCTTCAGCCGCTGGATCTCTTGTTGGAAGAGAAAATGAGGTATGTGTTACAGGGCTAGAGTGGTATGCAGATGATACTCCCTCTACATTAAACACATTTCCAAGATATTCGTGGTCCGAAATACCTAGTGTTGAAATTTTAAATAATTTAAGAATAATAATTACATGTCCCCATGGAAGTAGTTTGTTTTATTTCTTCAATTTGTGATCTTCAAAATTGCTGTGAATACTTACACAAGTCTAGTACTGCTGGATTGATGCAGTAATTTAAAAATTAACCATGGTAGTAATGTTTGATATTTTGAGAACAAAATGTTAGATTCTTTCATTTATCCCTGTATGTAAATGATGAAATCATAGATGAGCAGATCTAGACTTGCAGACTGAAAACACTGCTGCTCTGTGCTACTAAATTTAAATACAGGTTTAGTGTCCCGGATCCAAAATCAGAGTTGTGAAATGCTCTAAAATCTGAAACTTTTCAAGTGCTGACATGATGCAAAAAGTAGAAAATTTTAAACCTGACCTCAAGTGATAGGTTGCAACTAAAATACAGGAGCACTAAAAATATTTATAGAATTACATTAAAGCTATGTGTATAAGGTGTATATGAAACATAAATTTATTTCATGTATAGACCTGGGTACCATCCCCAGGATATCTTGTTTTATCTTAAATATTCCAAAGTCTAAAAAAATCTGAAATATGAAACTCTGCTGGTCCCAAGCACTTTGGATAAGGGATAGTCAACTTACACAGTATTTAAAAACAGTAAAAATAATTTTAGCTAGCTAAGTCTTTGATCCAAGTATAATTCAAAATACCTTCTGGAACAAAATTCTTAGGTTTCTTTACATTTTGATAGTTCTGAGTTGTGTAAGTTTTTTGAAGATCAAAGATGCTGTGTGTGTGTGTGTACACAGTAATATACAGATGACAAAACCACTCAGTATTTTGTTAATTAAATCAAAGTTGATGAGATGAATGGGTGTTTCCATTATAGTTGGCCAAAGGCTTATCAAAAAGGAAACATCGAAATGACCAGTTAACAGCGAAGACTTCCAGTCCTGGAGTTGTTACTGTCTCAGAACACAGTGAAAACAAAAATCTTGAAGGAGTCACACAAGAAGCATTTGATCTTATGGTTAAAGGTATGAAAAGATATATGATTGCTGTCTTTAAGAATATAAGGTAAAAGATATTGTGAATTATGCCTATAACTTTTTAAAGATTTATTTATTTATTTGAAAGTCAGAGTTACATAGAGAGAGAGAGAGAGGGGTCTTCCATCTGCTGGTTCACTCCCCAACTGGCTGCAATGGCCGGAGCTGCCCCTGTCTGAAGCCAGGAGCCAGAAGCTTCTTCTTGGTCTCCCAGGCGGGTGCAGGAGACCAAGGACCTGGGCCATCTTCTACTGTCTGCCTAGGGCATAGCAAAGAGCTAGATCGGAAGTGGAGCAGCTGGGACTTGAACTGGTGCCCATATGGGATTCTGGGACTGCAGGCGGTGGCTTTACCTGTAGGCCACAGCGCCAGCCCCCTGCCTTTAACTTTGAATATGGGCATGATATTTGCTTGAACATTTTGATAGTATGAATTTTTCTTGTGATTATAAATATATAAACAGTATAAAATTAGACAGGTATGAACATTTGACTAAATCCAAATGTATATGATAGCCGGTGCCGTGGCTCACTAGGCTAATCCTCCGCCTTGCGGCGCCAGCACACTGGGTTCTAGTCCTGGTCGGGGCGCCGGATTCTGTCCCATTTGCCCCTCTTCCAGGCCAGCTCTCTGCTGTGGCCAGGGAATGCAGTGGAGGATGGCCCAAGTGCTTGGGCCCTGCACCCCATGGGAGACCAGGATAAGTACCTGGCTCCTGCCATCGGATCAGTGCGGTGCGCCGGCCGCGGTGGCCATTGGAGGGTGAACCAACGGCAAAGGAAGACCTTTCTCTCTGTCTCTCACTGTATACTCTGCCTGTCAAAAAACAAACAAACAAACAAACAAAAAACCCAAAAAACAAATGTATATGATATATTAAGAAAGGTGATAGTAGCTAATTTGGTGGCTATGTTACTAAATTGCCTTGTAAGGGTTTATAAGATATAAAGATTGTCTTCAGAAGAAAAATATTTAGGGAATGAATTTGGAGTAAGAAAATTGAATATCCCAGGAGAATATGAAGTAATGGTGCCAATAGAAACATGGTGGGAGTATAGTTAGTAAAGTTTTATTAGACACAAGTAAAGTTCATGACCTAGAAATAGGTTTTTTAACAATAAGATTTGTGATACTCATATCTGATATGGTTAAAATTGAGTCCTATTAATAAAGCCATAGGTGAAAAAAGTTTACCCTTCAGAGCTGATCACGGAACTCTGCAGACCCTCAGTGGGATGGTCATAGTGTTAGAATTTAAAGAGCTGCAAAGGATCCTGACAGACCATTAGCTTTGATGCTGGCAGTGGCATTGATATGGTAATTCTAAAAAAAGTTTTGTGCATATTTTAAGATTGAGCACATAAGTAATACGTTGATGCTGGGAGCCAGGTTCATAATATGGTGCATGGAAATACAAGTAGAGAATGAGGAAGGAGAGGAAGAACTCTGTTGAATTGGAATTGGGCCCATCCGTATAAATAATGGTTTTCATATGAAGTATTCTATTTTCTGGCTCTACTATTGAAAAGCCTAGAGACAAAAATGATGCATGGGAGCAGGGAGAAAATCATTTGAAGGAATTTGAACATCAAGATGAATAATGTCAAGAACAGATTCTAATACATCAAATTTAAAAAGGACATGAATCTGTACTGAGAAGTTTTCTCTTAAATTGGGGTAGGCAGAGTTCTTTTTACAGAATAATGTCAGCTACTACATATAGAAGGAGTTACGAAAACAGAGAAATCATTATTTTTCACCTACAGAGGTGATTTAAGCAAGAAACATCAGTGGAATTAATTAATACGAAAAGTTGTTGGAGAACAAGATATTAACACAAACTCAAAAGTTATACTCCACACATCATTTATTAGTTACTAAGGGCAAGTAGGATCTTCCCAAGAGAGAACGCAGATGACATCTTAACCAGTAGCCTCGTATTAGGACAAATTAGCTTGTGCTTTCCATGGATACAAGATTTACGTAATATTCCCACCAGAGACGTTTAGCTTGAATCTAATCAGGGAAACAAGCCCAGACACAAGGACAGTGTACAAAAAAATGGAGCTGAACAAATACACAAATGCACAAAATAAATGTTGCAAAAATCATTTCTGCAATGTAGTTAAGTGTAGTTGTAATTTTCCTCAAGTATTAAAGTCTTTGGAATGTTAGGGGAAATAAAATAGGAAAGGATGATTATTATGGGTAGTAATGAGTAAGGTCAGAAATTTTGAAAAATTTAGAAAAAATTGTTAAGATTTTTACAGTACTTTTTAAAGTTATTTGTAAAACATTGATTTATTTTAGAAAATGCATCCTCTCAATATTGGAAAGAAGTGGCAGAAAACCGGAGGAAGGCTCTCTACGAAACACTTAAGGAAAATGAGAAAGTATGTACCGAGTGTAATTTGTACTATGTAATACTGTTCTGGATTGTTTTCCTCCTGCTGCTTAGCAAATCTGATTATAGTGCTATAGTTAGCTTTAATGTTAGCCTAACAAAAGGTTAGCTTTTTTTTTTTTTTTTTTTAATCATTATTTTGAGAAAGACGACTTGCCAGTCTGCTGGTTCACTTCCCAGATGCCCACAACTGGGACAGGGCCAGGCTGAATCCAGGAGCCAGAAAATTAATCAGGGTCTCCCACGTGGGTGGCAGGGACCCAACTACTTGAGTTGTCATCTGCTTCCTCCCAGGCAGGAAGATTGGAAGCAGAACGAGGACTTGAACCCAGGTACTCTGATAAGGGATGCAGGTATCCCAAGTGGCATCCTAGCTACTGCTTCAAATCCCATGCCCTAAGCTTACGTGCAAAGGCAGCTGTTACCAGAGTGAACATACAAATCAGTCTTGTGTTCAGAGCCAGCTTGGTGCTACATGTGTCTTGCCAGTTATGTCCTCGGAGGCATGTAACTTGGTTTATAGGATATAAATCTGAATACCTGAACTTTCTGTTGAATAGCTTCATAAAGAGATTGAACAAAAGGACAACGAAATTGCCCGCTTGAAAAAGGAGAATAAGGAATTGGCAGAAGTAGCAGAACATGTTCAGTATATGGCACAGGTAATAGAGGTAAGTAATTTAATATTCGTGTAGTATGATTAATGTTCAGATTCTATAATCAGATTTCTTAGGTTTGAGTCTTCATTAAATTTGTTGAATAGAATGTTATCCTTTTGGCTTCATTTTCCTCATCTATGAAATGGGAATAAAAATGCTTGCTTCATATACTTGTGAGAATGAAATGAGTCAGAATAGATGGACAGTTGTGAGAAGTACTCACACAGTAAAATTGGATGCCTGCTAGCTATGGATATTTATTGTCAAGCAAAAGAGTTTATAAAACATAATTGGTATACTGAATAGGTTTGGTGGTTTTATTTATTTATTTAATTTTTAAGATTTATTTAGTTCAAAGAGTGGCAGAGATACCGTCTACGTGCTGGTTCACTCCCCAAGTTGCTGCACAGCCCAGGTCAGGCCAGGTCAAAGCCAGGAGGCTGGAGTCACATTTCGGTCTTTCCTGTGTGTTAGGGGACCATCTGATGCTTTCCCGGGTGCATTAGTAGGGAGCTGGATCTTGCTGGCATCACAGGCAGCAGTTCAACCTGCTGCAGCACAGTGCTGGCCCCTAAGATTTGGAAGTAGGTAGTGTGTTTCGAAGAACTGACCTGATAACTGTTAGTACCAGACTGGCACAGAATAGGTATGAAAGGTTAAGAAAATCTACCTTATTGATGGGAAGAAAGTTTTTTCAAATGGAAACTTTTCAAGTGCCACATTGTTTAGGGCCATGATGGAATTAATGTTTAAAGTTTTCATTTGGAAGTACTGTGGTCGCACTTCCTCTTAACTGCCTTAAAAGTAGGGGTCCAGAGTTGATTGGAAATTTAGAATACCTGGTTCTTGATGGCATGAAAGTACTAATTTACATTGTATTATGAAACTGCTTATTGAAAAACTTGGCAGATTATTGAACATTGAATTTGCTAAAATATGATCTAGCATGATAGAGACTGATAGAACACAGTTTATAAAAGAGCAAAATGAAAAATCTCATGACAACACTGAAGGTCAGCTATATCGCGTTGTGATAATGGACATGGGTTTTAAAATGTTCACTTTTATTTATTTATTTTTTTATTTAAAAGACACTGAGTGATAGAACTCTCCATGACTTTGAATCGCCGGATAGTCAGGAATTCGATTCTGAAGAGGAAGCTGGGGAGGATTCTGAAGGGGAAGACTCAGAAACGGGCACATGCGCTGAAGAAATAGTGTCTTCCTCCACGGATACCAACCTGTGAACGTGAACGTGAACGTGAACATGAAATTCGCTAATACGTGACTCTTGAGGAACATACTGCCCAAGTTCACCTCTGCTGTCATTCTCTAGAGCAGAGTGACCACATCCTGCAGACTCTGCCAGCAAACTCTGATGTTTGAATCCTGGGGCCCTACTGTATTAGATTAAAAATACCATGTATTTTTAATCTGTGATGTTTTATGTAAATAGCATTTTCTCAGTTGTCAGACATGACTTGTATATGATAAATAAACTTTAAATCTCTTGTTGAACATTGTGTGTGTCTTGGAAGAATGAAGTATAAGTCTAAAGATCTGTATTTATGCTTTTATTACTTTTTTCCTAATTCTTTGCTGTTTTGGAGGAAACCAGGGGAAATCAATCTTCCTGATTATAAAAAATTCCTTTGAAAGGCAGAGGCAAACAAGAGCAACAGACATCTCTCATCTGCTGGTTCACTCCCCAAAAGCCTGCAACAGCCAAGACTGGGCCAGGCCAAAGCCAGGAGCCAAAATCTGAGTTTTTGAGTCTCACTTGGGTGGCAGGGACTCAGGCACACGAGCCATCACCTGCTGCTTCCCAGAGTATTCACTGGCAGGAGCCAAGTCAGGAGCAGGGCTGGGACTCCAACCAGGTGCTCCAGCGAGGGACACGGGGGCCCCAGGCAGCATCTTTACTGTGCCAAACGCCTGCCCTAAGTTCAGGGATGTTCAGCTCCCACGTTCACAGAACACTACTGATTCCCGGACCCCTTTTCCAGGTTTCTTACTGAGTAGCTTTTGCAATGGAGCATGGGAATCAAACTCCTCAAGAGGACACGATTAGGAAGGTAAAAGATTGGCCAGCTAGTGGGGTCATTCTGGGAGCTTGAATGATGGGTGGTGGTGAATGTTCTCACAAGCAGCAGAGTGGGGGCGGGGGAACACACTGAAGAGGTGGGGGAGTGGCTGATGGTTCACGCCTCATGCTGTGTAGCATACAGTATCTGTATTATGGAGAGCTCGAGATTAATTAGAGGTCTCACAGTCTTGAGGTAAGGTGAGGACAAAATATGGGGCATGGTGAGAGTTACAGTTTTGGGACAATAAATTCTGAGAAGCATATAAATAATTTGTAAATTGGCAATAGAACAATGTCAGGCTTTAAAAGATTACTTAAATGGGGCTGGCACTGTGGTGTAGTGGTAAAGCTGCTGGCTGCAGTACCAGAATCCCATATGGGCGCTGGTTCAAGTCTCGGCTGCTCCTCTTCCAATCCAGCTCTCTGCTGTGGCCTGGGAAAGCAGTGGAAGATGGCTCAAGTTCTTGGGCCCCTGCACCCACGTGGGAGACCCAAAAGAAGCTCCTGGCTCCTGGCTTCGGCCTGGCCCAACCCAGGTTGCTGTCATCTGGGGCATGAACCAGCAGATGGAAGATTCTCTGCCTTTCAAATGAGTAACCATTATGGTTCCTGAACTAAGTGCTTACACAGTGGAATTTATAGTTTCTGTATTACACAGGGCAGCTCTGCAAATTTTTTGATTAACCTAAAGAATTAAAGAATAGCAAAATTAAGTTTTAAAAAAAGGAATTAAAGACTGTTCTGTGTTGGGAAGGGGACTCAGCTGAGTGGCTACAAGGATGAGTCAGGAGGGTTAAGTAGACTAGACTCACTTGGAGAACAGTGTTTCTGAAAAACGTCCAAAGTGTATTGCCAGGGTTTAGTAGCGAGGGACAAAAGAGGGAATTACAAAGGATTCTAGAAGAAAATGTAGAAGAAATTCTTAGTGACTTTGGGTTTACCAAAGAGTTCTTTCTTTTTTTTTTTTTTTTGACAGAGTTAGACAGTGAGAGAGAGAGAGACAGAGAGAAAGGTCTTCCTTCCGTTGGTTCACCCCCAAAATGGCCGCTACGGCCAGCGAGCTGTGCTAATCCGAAGCCAGGAGCCAGGTGCTTTCTCCTGGTCTCCCATGCGGGTGCAGGACCCAAGCACTTGGGCCATCCTCCACTGCCCTCCCAGGCCACAGCAGAGAGCTGGACTGGAAGAGGAGCACCTGGGACAGAATCTGGCACCCCAACTGGGTCCAGAATCCGGGGTGCCGGCGCCACAGGCGGAGGATTAGCCTAGTTAGCTGCGGTGCCGTCCTACCAAAGATTTCTTAAATAGTACACCAAAAGCATGAATGATATCAATACGTTGGGCTAAATAACAAAGACCAAAAGCCACACTACAGGGAAAATATTTGCAGAGCATCCAACAAAGGGTTTTCTATCTATAAAGAACTCTTAGAACGCAGTAAGTAGATGGCAAACACATGAAAACATGCTTAACATTTGCCATTAGGGAAGTGGAAATTATACCATGTGTAGTGATGTACTGCCAAGTACCCATCTGGATGACTTAAGTGTTAAGGATGTGAAGTTGGGGCCAGCACTTGTGGCGTGGCTGTGACAGTGAGTAAAGCTGCTGCCTGGGTGCCAGCATCCCATGTGGGCACCAGTTCAAGTCCCAGCTGCTCTACTTCTGATCCAACTCCCTGCTAATGTGCCTGGGAAGAGCAGTGGGAGATGGCCCAAGTGCTTGGACCCCTGCACCCACATGGGAGACCTGAAAGCAGCTCCTGACTCCTAGCTTCAGAGCGGTCCAGCTATGGCTGTTGGAGCCACTTGGGGAGTGAACCAGCAGATGGAAGATCCCTCTCTGTGTCCTTCTCTGTAACTCTGCCTTTCAAAAAAAAACCTAAACGACTCAACCAAACCAAAACAAAACAAAAAAAACCAAGCTTTTGAGGGGCTGGCGTTGTGGCGCTGTGGGCTAAGCCACTGCTTGCAATGCTGGCATCCCATGCTGGAGAGGCAGCTGCTCTCTTTCTGGTCCACTTCCTGCTAACATGCCTGGGAAGGCAGTGGAAGATGGCCTAAGAACTTGTGCCCCTGCACCCACAAGCACCCAGATGGAGCTCTGAGTTCCTGGCTTCAGCCTGGACCAGCCATGGCCATTTGGGGAGTGGATCAGTGGATGGAAGACCCCCACCCCACCCTCACTCTGACTTTTAAATACATCTTTAAAAAAAAATGTGGGCCCAGTGCTGTGGCATAGCAGGTAAAGCTGCCGCCTGCAGTGCCGGCATCCCATGTGGGCGCTGGTTCAAGTCCCGGCTGCTTCACTTCTGATCCAGCTCTCTGCTGTGGCCTGGGAAAGCAGTAGAAGATGGCCCATGTTTTGGGCCCCTGCAACCGCGTGGGAGACCTGGAAGAAGCTCCTGGCTCCTGGCTTTGGACTGCATAGCTCCAAATTCGAAGCCAATTTGGAGCCAATATGCCAATCCGGAGCCAGGAGCATCCTCTGGGTCGCCTACGTGAGTGCAGGGGCCCAAGGACATGGGCCATCTTCCACTGCTTTCCCAGGCTATAGCAGAGAGCTGGATCGGAAGTGGAACAGCTGGGACTTGAACTGGTACCCATATGGGATGCCAGCACTGCAGGCAGCAGCCTTACCTGCTATGCCACAGTGCCAGCCCCGTAACTCTTTCAAATAAATATCTCTCTCTCTCTTTTTTTTTTTTTTTAACGTGAAGCATTGAGATTCTGTGATGTTGGTGGCAATACTCAGTGTTAATTCTATACAACAGCCTTTTCACCTAAGGGTATCCTGTGAGACCCAAGAGAAATGAGAGCATACATTCACTTGAAGACTGGTTCACACATTATTAGTTTTAATCGTACTATCCAAAATGTCTTGGCAAGTGAGTGGATAAATGATTATGATGTAAGTATATTGGAATGCTGGTTAGAAATGAGAGGCAGAGCTATAGAGAGGCAGAGCGCTTCCATCTGCTGGTTCATTCGCCAAATGGCTGTAACAGCCAGGGCTGGCCCAGGCCAAGGCCAGGAACCTGGAACTCCACCCTGGTCTCCCATGTGAGTGCAGGGGCTCAAAGACCTGGGCTATCCTCCACTGCTTTCCCAGGTGCACCAGTTCAGAAGTGGAGCAGCCGGGACTTGAACCAGCACCCATATGGGATGGCACAACGCTGGCCGCTAACCAGATTCTTAAAGCACTGCCAAGAAGACAGGCCTTCAGCGGTTTCTGGTTAAACCTGCTAACTGAACACAGACATTTAGCTTCTCTTTATCCCCAAACTCCATTACAAGGACAGCAAACAACAAAGATGTAATCCCACAACGAGAAAGAAAACTTAAGGTGAGGAAAAAGTGACAATCCAGGCAACAGAAGAAAACAAAAAAGAAAACATAGGTATTGCTAAGCATTTCCATTTCTGGAAGTTTATCCTACAGATACAATCTCACATGTGTGCAATGACATTACTTACAGTTATTATGAGAACTCCGAACTACCAAACGATCCACTACTCTAGGACTGGCTACATAAATTATAGTGCAGTTACACAGTGGGATACTCTGCAGCAGTAGAAAGGAATGAGTGAACTCTAAGATGTAGAGGCAAATCACAGATAAATCACTGCTGTGTACAGAATGCTTCCATGTGCTAAAACTAAAAGGACTAAGAAAGGGATGCATGCTGAATTTTCTTGTATACACACAGAACATCTCTGGAAAGATTTAGAAACCACTTCTTTACACTACCGTATCTATCAATCATAGATCTATCTATCATCAATCCATCCATTTCTGTGACAGAGAGATCAGTCACCTGCTGGTGTACTCCCCAGATACCTACAACAATGGTGGCTGGGCCTGGTCTCCCCCGTGAGTGGGAGGGACCCATGTACTTGCGCCCTCACCACTGAGCTGGATGCTGGGCCCTGGCACTCCTGGGCGGGCAGCGCAAGCCTTACCGCTAGGTCAAATCCATATCTGCTTCTAATTTGTAGCATACTCGCTGCTCATGCCTATTTCATGTTTTCTTCTTGAAGTAGGAAGCTCTTACAGCTGCCCTACTCAGGGCCTCCTGCTGTGCGGGTGGTGTGCCTGACTGGTGACACTGGGAAGAACACACAGTGTCTGGCCAGCCCTTCCCCCTTCTCTGAGCCTGAGGGCTCTCGTGGGCGTGTGTTCTGCTGCTCCGCTTGCTTCCAGACAGGCTGAAGTCAAATTATCAATTAAGTGATGGAAACAACACAGTTGGGAGTACAGTTTTCCAAAAACTTACCTCCCATTTGTTTTCAGGAAAGTACTTGAAAAATGTCCAAATTCAAATTTGAGAATGAACCAGGAAGAGACACTGTATAGCAAACAGAGGTTCCAACATGAGAGGGTAATGGGGGCTGCTGGATGATAAAGGGGACCCCTATAATATGGATGGGGTCGCT